CTTATGCCAATTCCTTTCTCTTGGTCAGGTTGGAAGTGCAGGCTGATGTGCAGAAAGAGATCTTTCCAAAGGATTCGGTCAGCCTCGGAGCCATCAGTGACAATGCGAGCACACGAGCCATGGCAGGCTCCATCATCAGTTCCTACAATCCCCAAGACAGGTGAGCCAGTCTAGCTAATAGTGCAGGGAGATAAAAATCTGTCTTCTTTAGAGAGAGCTTTTATACAACTTAGCTTTGTCAAAAAGACATTCTTGTTTTTGCTATGTGTGGCTAGAAAACAAGTGCGGATTCTGTAGAACAGCTGAATCAGAACCTAGATGGCTTCCATTGTTCATGGTGTTAAGTGGGCCGCTTCTGGATCATGCAAGTAGAATTGCATGGATTTCCCTGTGTGATGAAAACTGAAAGTGGATGCAGATCAGCAAGAAGGCACAGAAACATTTGGGTTAGGGTAAATAAGTTTTCTGGTATCAGTGCAAAATTTGTGCATATTATATGTTCTGCCTCAGTAGCATCAGGTTCTGTGCCAGAGGATAATAATCTGACATTTATTGCATAAAACCAAGGTCCGTGTTTTCAAGATTCCAAAATTCTGCAAGTCAATTAAAATTCGGGAAAGCTCCCTAAAACATATGTGATGGTTCACACGCTGGTATATATTTTATTATGCTGTCCTTTGTGCAAAATCTTATAAAAAATAGCTTAATTTGAATGAGTCATTCAGCTGCAAGACTTCCTGTAGTGGGAAGGGCTGTGCAGGGAGGGGAAGTGAATTCTATAGGTGGCTTCTTTTCCCTTCCCATTGGGTGGTGGCCATACCTGAAAGTGTGGAATATGCAGAGCTGCCAATAATTCCAGCCTAGTAAGGAAGGGAGGGAGGTGTCTGGTTTGATGCCTCAGCTAGTGTTGGTAGATAGCAGATAAAAGGGCGTCACTAAGAACCCTTTTGTATCCCTAATTCTTTCTTGAAAAATGTGCATACACATGTATATGCATATGCATATGTATATAAAATTAATAAAATAGTTTTTTAAAAGTGGAAATTGCAGGTTGGTCATGACTTCTTTGCTCCCAAACAGAATATAGAAAGAGCTGCCCTCACTTTGAAAGCTACAGTGCCAGGGCGAAGGGGGATCCTCCGTGCGTGTTCCTACTAAAATTAGCTTTCCATGCCCTGGAGGCTTTGATAGAGGGAGGCGGCCAATGGGCACTGCTCCCATTTGGGGCGGGACTACACTCATTCCTGCCTGCTTCCTGCCTGTCCTCAGAGTAGCATCTGTGTACTAGGATAAGACAAGTTAATCTTACAATTTATTAAGCTTGCTTGTAACATGGAGCTTCACATGGTGCACTTTTCCCACAGGGAATGCAACAACATGGAAATCCAGGTGGACATAGAGACTAAGCCCAGCCATTATCAGCTTGTTAGTGGAAGCAGCACCGAGGATTCCCTCCATGTCCCAACCCAAATGGCAGAAAACGAGGAGGAGGAAGAGGAGGAGGAGGAGGAGGAGGAGGAGGAAGAGGAGCAGCAGCAAATATGCAACCACCAAAGCTGTGAACAGAAGGACTGTGTGGCCAGTAAAACCTGGGACATCACTCTGGCACAGCCCGAAAGCATCCGCAGTGACCTGGAGAGCTCGGACAGCCAATCTGATGATGTGCCCGACATCCCCCTGGATGACTGTGACTCCCCCTTTCCCCAGACCACTGCCTGCCTCCACCCCCCCAGTGCCAGAGGGGCTGGGAGCCCAAGTGCCCGCATCGGCCACTGTGCCCAAGCAGACGGACATCGGCCGGAGGAGAGAACACTGGAGTGCCTTGAGGCCCGAGGGTGAAGCCCCTCTCCCCCCTTCCCCCCCCCCGGCTTTTGCTCCTGGTTCCCTGGGTGACTGCCCTGATCTGGACTCCGGGGACGTGGCTTTTCTTACATGAGGATAAAGCCTCGGTTTTCTTTTTTTATTTATTGATTTAAGCGCTTGGTGATGCTCAGTGAGTTGTGTAAGAGTGTACATAAACGTGTGCGTGTATATTGTATGTTTGCCAAACACACACCTAAAGAATGCCTTTAATAAATATTCCTGTTCCATTCTCATTGGATCCTGTTTGCCCAGTGAATTTGTCTGGATTTTCTGTTAGACGCTTCTTTGCTCCTGAAGCTCTTTCCTTGAACACTCCCCTCCCCTCCCCGTGTCAAAACATGTATATTTGCTGCCCCCTAGAGGACTTTGCTCCCTTTAGTGCAGTGGTTCTCAACCTTTCTAATGCCGCGACCCCATAATACAGTTCCCCATGTTGTGGTGACCCCCAACCATTTATACATCAACGGGTGCCAGGGGCGTGGCCAAAGGGGGGAAAAATGGCGGACAGCCTTGTTTGGCGACCCCCGTGAAATGGTCGTTCGACCCCAAATGGAGTCCCAACCCACAGGTTGAGAACCACTGCTTTAGTGGTCTATTGCCTTCTTGGGGTGGGTATCCAACAGGGTCCCGATGCTGGGTCGGAGCAGGCGACCTGGGGTCTCTAGAGAGTTTGGAGGAGTTAGGGGGCATCAGATTGCCTATTCCTGCTACCTGGGATTCCCTGTTTTCAGATTTGGGGACTGGAATTGCCTAACAGGTCAACCCTGAACCTGAAAAATAAAATAACAGTTCAATCTCTTTCAATCAGAATAGAGCTGGAAGCAATCTTGGAGGTCTTCTAGTCCAGCCCCCTACGCAAGCAGGAGACTTTATACCATTTCAGACAAGTGGCTGTCTAGCCTCTTCTTAAAAACCTCCAGTGATGAAGCACCCACAATTTCTGGAGGCAAGCTGTTCCACTGGTTAATTGTCCTCACTGTTAGGAACTTTCTCCTTAATTCCAGGTTGCTTCTCTCCTTGTTTAGTTTCCATCTGTTGCTTCTTGTCCTGCCCTCTGGTGCTTTGGAAAATAAATTGACCCCCTCCTCTTTGTGGCAGCCTCTCAGTACTGGAATACTGCTATGTCACCCCAGTCCTTCTTTTCCTGCAACCATTCTTCGTATGTTTTTGTCTCCAGACCTTTAATCATCTTAGTTGCTCTTCTTCGCACTTTTTCCAAAGTCTCAATATCTTTTTGTAATGTGGTGACCAAAATTGGCTGCAGTATTCCAGGTGTGGCCTTACTGAGGCTTTACAAAGTGGTACTAATACTTCACATGGTTTTGATTCTATGCCTCTGTTTATACAACAAATTATTGTATTAGCTTTTTTGGCTGCTGGCTCATTTTAAGTGATCGTCTACTAGGACTCCAAGGTCCCTCACAGTTACTGTTTTTGAGCCATATAGTTGCTGTATTCGCCCAAATCAGTAATACCTATGAAGGGAGGCACACCACATTCTAAGACAAAAGCTGAGATTCAGTATGTTAAACTGCAAATATTTTAACCTCATTTTACCCTAGTCTGGTAAGTTGTATGAATTCAGCCATAAGTAATACAAATATTTAAAATACACGTTTCTGGTTTTCAGCTGCAGAAAGAAAGAATACTTAAATGCAAGAATGGAAAAGATTTATATTATGGCGCTGTCATATAATGACTGGGTGCTTTTGAGTTTCCGCTTCTTTTTAAATTCTTTTTGCTCCATCCAAAAAGGATAGGAATATGGAACAAGGAACAGGTCTTTTGCTTTTTAACCCCCGGGTACTGTTAAATAGCATAAAGTAAATGTTTGTTAGAAAGAGCAAAGAATGGAGAGATGGTGTAACATTTAGCAAGCTTTGTTTAAGGCCTCATTCTCTTTCCCTCTTTTCTTTGTCCAGGCATAACAGGGCATTGTTGCTTGTCCACACTGATTCATATAAATCTGTCCTTAAATGCAGAGCAGGGCTTCTTAGACCCTTGGGTGTTGTGAAGGGCAAGTTCAGATGTTGAAGGGAACCAAGTGGTGCAGTTCATTCAGTTCGTCCTTTCAGAAGGAGAGGTTTGCATATATTACAAGCCTGAATGTTGAAAATGTCTATAAAGAAGAAACCTTTGCCCGTTGCATGCTAGCATCAGTCTGCAGGGAGATTGTGGTGGGAGTTTCAAAACCTAATATTCCCATCTCAATAAAGGAGATTAATAGCTCAGGTTTGAACTGTAATTTGATGGTTTCCTTGCAGATGTTTCAATGCTGATAAAGCTCAGAGCATCAAGGACCTCCTCACTCCCATCTCATCCCAAAGTGGTACCAAGTCATTGGCTCTGAGCCCAAAGACCCCAAGGCTGCGGACCCCCACTCAGAGCAAGAATCCAACATTTGGACTCCTCCAGGAAAGGGGAGCTGACCACCTCCCTTGACCGTCATTCTCCCTGCTAGGCTGCTCTAGGGAGCTTTTCCTTCAGAATCTCTTTCTCCCAACTTAAATTCATTACTCTGTGGTTCCATTCTGGAACGAAGAGACCAGATCCCTTTTGCTAGCTTCTCCTGCCACAAAATCATTACTGTTCCACATTCTTGAACCCCAAGAGGAATGTTTGATGGCCCTCGCTCCAATGGCATCCCATTGATTAATATCCTGTGCCTTCCTCCTGGCTCTGAAGAAGAAAGTGTTCAGGGAGAGAAACTATGGATTTCCCGGAAGGAACTGGAGAAACTTTGTCTCCCAAGGGATGCTGGGATAACTAAATGTCTTCCCCCATTCTCTTTTCGGGGGAAAGATCTGCCCTTGCCTTCTGGCTCAAAAATTAATCAGTTTGCTTCTGGACAAGATACCACTGGGAAATCCCAGCACGGTAAAATAGGCTGGGAATTAAAAAATAAAATAAAATTGGAAGAAGACAACAAACACTTGCATGTTGTTGACATGAAAATTACATGGGGATGACCCTAAAGCTCAAGGGAGATTTTACTTTAAAAGAAAAGTACCCATGAAGTTTTTGTTCTTTTTATATTATAAAATATGTTTTATAGGCAGATCAAGCAGCTAAAACCTGTTAAAAAGTACATAAAGCACTATAAAAAAGGCCTACACAATGGCATAGCAAACAAAAATCTGGAACAACAATAAAGTAGAAATAACTACAGTATAAAATACCAACAGATGTTCTCAAAACAATCTTAATGGGCCGTTTAGAGTTCAAAGTGGGCCTCCCTCCACAGACCGGATGCCGTGGCTGCCTGCCTACCTGGGCACCTGGGAAGGGACTTCTGGCAAACAGCTGGGGGGGGGCCTTGGGGCAAAAGGCTCATTTCCTGTCTCTGGATTTCTCCAGCCTTTGGCTCCTTCTCTTAAACTGAAAGCTATACATGGTGAGACCTTGAAAGAATTTGGATGGGACACCACCAGGTCACTCCAGGACCAGGAGCCAGATTCTAGAAAGATGCACTACTGGCCCAAAAGCTGCAGTGGAGAATCAGACTTTTTCACACTTCCTATCTAACCCTGTGGTACCATCTTATACCCATGTTACTCAGTTTTGGTAACTTTTAAGATGTGGGGCCTTCAAATCCCAGAATTCCCCAGCCAGCAAGGTTGTAATCTCCATAGCTTAAAGGTTGCAAAATGCTGGCTTACAGTGACTGCGTTCACACAGCCCATTTAGCCAAAAACACAGCCAAAACCCGCCAGAGGGCTGGTTTGAACCCAGCCGCCCTGGGTCCTACGCGCGAACGCCCACCGAAGCTGCCTTTCCCGCCTGGACCCCAAGCCCACTCCCGCCGCTCCCAGGCCGCCCAGCCCGGCCCCTCCGCTTCTCCCGGTCTCCCGGGGCGCTCCCAGCGCGGCGGCGGCAGGAGGGAGCGGCCGGGCCGGGTGGGGCCGGCAGGTGAGTCACGTCTCCCGCTGGTTGAGGCCGAAGGTGGAGCCGGGCCTTTTGTTCGGGGCCTTCGGCCGCAGAGGAAGGGCCGACCTCCCGGCGTAGGGACGAAGGGCCGGAGCGGGAGGAGCAGGGGAGCCGACCAGGTACGGAGCGTCGCAGAGCCGGAGCAAGTGGCCGGTAGAGGCGCGTCGCTCTCGGCCTCCTGCAGCTGCGACGCCGCGGCCGGGCGGGAGTTGAGTCGGCGACGTCCGGGCGGGGATGCGCTGAGCCCCGCACGGCCTCCTGTGCCGCCACCTGGGTGAGTGGAGGCCCCGCGGCGCCCCGCCGTCCTTCCGCGGGGCTCGACCGGCCTTTCAGGGGTCTTCCCCGCAGGGCCCGCCCGATCCGCCAGCCGGATCCCGGCCCCTGGGCGCTCGGCGTGGTGGGCTGCCGGGATCGCGGCCGAGGAGGAAGGGGCCTGGGGATTGGGCGGACCCCTCTTTCTCCTCCGTGTCCCCGTGCCCGGCTGCAGAGCCACGGAGGCTGCGAGTCGAGTCGAGGCGTTGCTTCAGGCGTTCAACTCCAGGGGGATCGGAAGTCCGGTGTGCTGAAATTAGAAGTCAGATTTAGGTTTATTCACGCAACAAAAGGTACATCAACCTGCAGAGCGTGTCAGCCTTTTACCATATTAGGAGCTTGAATGAGTATTTCCACTATACATTTAGCTGTTTTAATTTTTTAATTGGGAGATCACGCAGAGCATGGGGACAAATGTAAGCACTGCAGTTAATATGAAAAGTAGTTTTCTTATGCATGAAATCCCAGCAGAGTGTTGGGAGAAAGTGGCTAGCTAACATTAAATGGAAATTTTTGCTCTTTCAAAACAAAGTTATCTTTATTTACTGTTATGACTATCACCAAAAATGCAAACAGTCTTTTCCAAGTATGATTATGTTTGTTGTTATTTTGTTTATCACTTCCTGGGAGCAATTCTGCTACAAACAGTCTCTTCCTTAAAGGAATTTGCAGACAGCTCTATGCTTGATTTATTTAGCATAATTCTTTTCAATCTAATAATGAGAGTTCTGTGGCCAGACTACAAAACTGTAAATGTAAATGCATCTCTGAATAAATAGGAAGAACATAAATTGAACTAAAATATGGAAAAGTCATGTGCATTATCTAAAAATGATCTAGACAAACTATTTCTGTAATTAGAAAATTTTAAAGGCTGATAAAATTTAAAATCTTGTATAAAATGTTGTACAAAACATGCATTAATGAGGCTTTCTAAATGCCTATTATGCAAAAACTAAAACCCGAGCACTGCAAGGAGATTGTTCTGGTGATCTGAAGTCCTGAATGGGTTCTTTCCATTCTCTCTCTCTCTCTCTCTCTCTCTCTCTCTCTCTCTCTCTCTCTCTCTCTCTCCCTCTCCCTCTCTCTCTCTCTCCCTCCCTCCCTCCCTCCCTCCCTCCCTCTCTCACTCCCTCCCTCTCACACACAGACAAAGTTATTTGCCCCCAAGGAATTTAAACTCAAGTGATCAAAACAGAGATGGGAATTCAGCTGCCCAACCAAATTTTAGAGAAGCCGGGTCCCACGCCAGGGCCCAGTTGCATTCCAAGCAGCCTCTCTTGCCCCACCCCCACTCCCCATCCCCCCTTCACACCTTGTAGGTTGTGTAGATTTATGGGATGTTCTGGCCTGATTCACTCTACTGTTTAAGCAATGGTTAATCTTTAAAGGAAGCCCCTGGTTCTTTTCCAAAGGAAATGCTGCGTTGTAGACTTCCTTATGGCCTCTGCCTCAACCTGCAGGAGATAAGTTGGCTGGGGAGCAACTGCCCATCCCTGCTGAGGCCCTGGCACCACTTCCTTAGTGTTGCCTTGGAAGAGATCCTGCATGGCAGCGGAATATGCCCAGCCAGGGCTGCATTTGAGGAGCTCCTGCTGCTTCTGCTAGATAGGCCAAAGTCTCAGAAGGGATGCCCTCCAGCAGTCGGCCTCTCCCACGCCCTGCCTCTCAGAGAGAAGGCAACTTTTCTTGCCTTCCCACCCACCCATGGGGCAACAGTAAGCCCAGACCCCCACTGTGGGCATCAGTGAGGGATGCTGAGACTGATTCAGGCTTCTCCCTCCAGACTTCCCCAGTGACTATTCCCAGGCCCTGCCCCCCCCCTCCTTGGGCCTTGCACCACAGACCCCTCCCCACCCAAGTTCTGTGTTCCTTCTGTAGAAGGAAGAAGATGGTGCTTCTTTCTTCTCCAGACAAGATCAGCCAGGCGAAAACTCACAAAAATTAATTAAAAACTGTAAACCAAGATAAAGAGATAGGGAAAGGACTCAACAGAAGGGTTGATCTGGTGTAGGAGTGGAGAACCTGTTGCCTTTAGATGTTCTGAACTTCATCTCCCTCCATTTCTACCTGTTGGCCCACTGACTGGGGTGATGGGAACTGCAGTTCAGCTGCCTTTATAGGGTCAGACCTTACCTACCTGAGCGACTGAGCAACAGTTGTCCAAAAGCCACCATCTTGAGCTGCTGGTCCTGGTTGGGCTTGCAGCTGTTTTTCCGTCAGTCAGGATGTTTGAAGCAGCCTAGAGGAAGATTCCTAGTGTCAGACCCCTGGGGAGACCAGACCAGAAAGTCATCTCCACAGGAAAGCTAGATCAAGATAATATAAATCATAATAACAGAATTTTGCAAGTCTGATTGTGTTTTTCCTCCTCTCTAGTAAATCAGGAAGGCCTTTGCCTTTTGACTATTATCTTGCTTTCCAGGACTTCTTTAATTCTTTATTGTTTCTTTGCCTAGATGACGCTTCTTGCATATTTCTGTCAGGGAACAGCTCCTCTGCTCTGCACATCTAGCTGCATGAGAGCATTTCCAATAGCATGCTTTTTAAAGCTTACCCTAAATTGCATTTACAGACTTTTTTTTTTTTTTTGCTTTAATCAGTCTAAAACGGGTCTTCAAACTTGGCCCTTTTACGACTTGTGGACTTCAACTCCCAGAATTCCTCAGCCAGTGTGCCTGGCTGAGGAGTTCTGGGAGTTGAAGTCCACAAGTCGTAAAAGGGCCAAGTTTGCAGACCCCTGGTCTAAAACATTTGATGTTCCCTGAAATTTGGCCAAATCATCTATAAATAAGCTGAGAGAAGAGCAGTCCTAGTATAAATTGTTAGGAAAAAAACCATCTGGACAGACTGCATTACAAGAAGTACCCCTTTACTACTGTTCTCTGCACCTTTATTGACCTCTCGGAAGACCTTGGTTAACCCAGACTGGCTTAATTCGTACAGGAGCCATTGGGGAGGGATTTTGACAAGTCAGTCCCGAAGTCCAAGTAAACTGTTTTGATCAGATGATCTCTGTTGGTAGCTTCGCTCCCCAAGATCTGTACAATGCCTGTGAGATGGGACTTGCCTCCAAAATATTTTCAAAATGTTTCTGACCCTTATGATGATCATCTCAAAGTAAAATCTGCTTTGTAGCTGAGGTTGCTTCAGAAAAGAGTTAAAGGAGGGGGGAGGGAAGGGGGGGGTCAGCAAAGCTTTGAGACCTGCGTGCTGAAGGGCACCAGGGGGAGGTGATTCCCAGAGGGATAAGGCTGGCCCCTGCATTAGGACCAGAGGTAGCTCAGCAGGCCTTGCTCTTGCCCAAGAGGCAACGCTTGCTACATAAAACTTCTTATTGTGTAGCACATCTAGTTTTCTCCATTTTCTCTTTCTAACAGCCTCCTCCTTTCCTCTGATGCACAACTGTGTACTGGAACAAATGCACTTCTTTCTCAGCTATGCTTGACGCCAGCAGCTCCCAGAAACTCTTGATGAAAACAGGACTCATCCTGATTGTCATTGGTCACCTGAACTTCATTGCGGGAGCCTTGGTCAACGGGACGGTCTTGCGCCACATTGCCAACCCTCAAGATAGTATTTCTCTGCAGTATGCCATCTCTAACATCATCTTGGCCGTCTCAGCCATCTTGGTAGGTTGTCTGCTTTCTGTGGTGCAGAGGGGTCGGTGGAAGGACGGAGCAGGCCCTGTCCCTGCTCGGCTGCCTTGCAGAAGCAGACACGGTGGCGGCAGGGCACGCCGAAGGCCAGCCCCCTTCCTTTCTCCCAGATGGTGAGGGTCCCCTGGATAAGTTGCCCCCAATCAAAAAAGTCAAATGCAAACAATTCTCACTTTAACTGCCGTGCAGTATTTTAGAGTCAGAAACAGAGCAAAAATCAGTGACTGGTTCTGATGGGCACCCACAAAATAAGGGCTGTTTGATCTCCTAATGATAAAGTTGGGAATTCTGCCAAATGTGGTATTAATGTGTTGTGACTGAAGTTGGAATGATTCTGCAGTAACAAAAGGCAAGCATAATTCTAAAGCTATTACCTTGCCAAAGATTTCAAATTCCTTCGAATAATAAAACAACCACTTTAGATCTTGGAATCATCAGAATTAATTCCTGCAAAGCCACCAGCTGTTCTCTATTTGCTGGAATTTTATCTTGAAGACAACATCTGGAGGGGGGATTGCATCACTGTACTGTAATCTGCTGCTGCTGCTGCTGCTCTTTGCCTGGGGTAATGTCCTGGTTTTCCCTTTACAGACAATATCCTGTGGAATAGCAGCCATTGTGCTTTCCAGATACCTGTCCCAAAAACCACTGGTAAGCAGTCTTGTCCCTGTGGCAGTTTGGAGCAGAAATACCTCCAGCCAGAAAATGAGTTAGGTTTCAGGATAAGAGTTCCTTAAGAGGCTACACCAGGGGTAGGCAACCTCGGCTTTTTTATGATTCATGGACCTCAACTCCCAGAATTCCTGAGTCAGGAATTCTGGAGTTGAAGTCCATGAGTCATAAAAGAGCCGAGGTTGCCTACCCCTGGGCTACACCCAACTGTTTGCAGAAACTCTTGTTAAGTCCATTAAGAAAAGAATTGATTAACCTTGAGCCTCCTCATTTTTTCTTTTTACCACACCCTCACCACTCCCACAGTCTGTTTATCTTCAGGGCCATCGGGATCTTTGCTCCCCGACTCACCGGGAAGATAGCATCCGAGAGTATGCAATAATTCCATAAAATGATGTTTTAAGTCACACAGGGCAAACAGCAAACAGCTTTCCCAGCTATAGAGGGCATTTTTGTAGTTTCCTTATAAAATTTTATTGTCAAGGAACTATAACTGGGCCTTTGCATGCAGCTCTGCTTGGTTTGTTTACTATATTTTAAATTGCCCAGTAATGGGAGTGTTTTAGGCAGACTAAAAACTGTTAATATAAATGCATCTACAAATAGAATAAGAAAAACAATGAACTAAAATATGGAGGAGCCATATGGAAGATATGCAATTATTTAACATCAATCTATGCAAATTATTTCCCTAACATGCAAATTCTAATGGCTGCTGTATTAGGAAATTTTGCACAAAATCTCACATATAAAAGTGCATTAATTAGACCAGGGGTAGGCAACCTTGGCTCTTTTATGACTTGTGGACTTCAACTCCCAGAATTCCTGAGCCAGCTGAGGGGAAAGGGAGAGGATTCCAAGCTGAGCCATGCTGGCTCAGGAATTCTGGGAGTTGAAGTCCACGAGTCATAAAAGAGCCAAGGTTGCCTACCCCTGAATTAGACTATCCAAAATGCAGATAAATATCCGGCAAGCATAAAAATGATCCTGAATGGCTTCCTTCCATTCTGTGATGGTCCCCTTAAGAAACATTCAGTTTGCCATCGTCCACACTGGAAAAACCTAAGTGCCGTTTCTGGCAGGATGATTGCTTGATTAAATAATTACATCTATTACAGCTGCCTGCTCCAAAACTTTAGTTTGTTGGGGAAGAATTTCTCCATTCTGTGAACATGAAGTCCATTAGATGTTTCTCGACCAACATGGGGGATCCTGGGAGTTGAAGTCCATATATCTCAAAATGGCTAAGGTTGAAAAAAACCTTGCTTTAAGTCAGGGGTGTCAAACGGACGGCCCGCGGGCCGGACACGTCATCACAAAACTGCGCCCACCCCATTGCCGGCAAAGGCAAAAAAGTTCCGATACGTAGCGCAACGTCACGTGACGTCGCGAGTTTGACATGTCTGCTTTAATTGATTTGGATGTCAATTCCCAGATCTCCTTCCCTCCATTTGTGTTGGACTCCAGTTCCTACAGTTTGCAGTCCTAGGATGGTTGGAATCTAAATCCAAGACATTTGGGTGGTATCACATGTAACATCTTTTGAAACTTTCAAATGGCGTTCATAATGTTGTTTGATTCTAGTTCAGCTGGGTTCATGTATGACACGGAACTTGACCTCTCTTCCCCAAACTTCGTGCCTTCTGAACTATTCTGCGTTTGACCTCTGGTAATAGAAAGCCATTTTGCTAGGTTCACCTATTGTTCTATGTTTACTTCAAAACTGAAACCCAAATAAATAAACCATGTTTTAACATGGTATGTTGGGTGTGGTATGAATTTAGAAAGTTGCATTAATTTTGTGAAGTGGCTAAGCTAATTAGCACAAGGCTTGTAACACTGAACCAGAGACAGTTCAGGTTTTTGTACGATGAGTGAACCCATCCATTGTGCTTTGTAAACTATGGTCTGTGGCTTATCTTCTTTGAATCCTCCTGCTCCCTATATCTTTTGTGACAGCCCCGCCCTGTGTAATGCTATTCCCCCCCCCCATTGTTCTCCAGAGTATGAAGGTTGGTAGGTTAGATGCCCCGTGAGATGGTTACTGTGGAGTGTTTATGGGTTTGTCCTCGGCAACCGTTGATTATTCTGTTGATATATTTTTCCTGTTGTTTTAATGTGCTGATGACTTCCCAGAGTTACATCTGGGAGATGGGGGAGCATATAAAATCAATTTAAAGAATAAAATAAATAATAGATAAATGTAACGGTTAGTGTGTGGAATGGCCTTGCTAGGCAAATGAGGATTAGCGTAAGAGCTTCCCGCTTCTCTCTCTTTACAGGGATGGGCTGTTTTCTCCCTCAGCATCAGCAGCACCCTCCTCTCGCTCTTCTGCCTGGTGGGGCTGGCGGTGGCCATCGGCCTGACCTTCGCCAACAAGGGCCAGGCCCTTCTGTCCCTGTGCACCTTTGCTGACATGGAGGTCATTCAGATTGCCCAGGAGTGCCCCTTCGACCCCACTCGGATCTATGTAAGTCTGCCAAAAGGACCGGGAGCTGCTGCTGCCAGAAGAGGGCTGTGTTGGGGAAGGGGTTCCTCTAGAACTGGGCTTTCATCTTCCTGAAGTGGCTTCCAGGGAAAAAGGCTTGGGAGGTACAGAATTTTGGGCTCAAATATCTCCAGCAAATTGACTCATCCTGAAGTGTATATATATATATATATATATATATATATATATATATATATATATATATATATATATATATATATATATATATGTTCAGCCAGAGCAGTGTGGAACAGCGGAGCTGTTGGGTGTCAGTTTTGCCGTGGAATTGAGTTGCTCAGCAGCCTGGACAGGACGGCTCATCCTTGGTGGCTGGAAGTTAGCATGGGTGGGTGGCTGCATCAGTGGAGCTGTGGTTTCTACCTCTGAAAGTTGGTGAACCTATTTTTGACCTTCCCTTTCCTCCCCTCAGAGTTCTGCCTTGGTCCTCTGGGGGATCTCCTTTCTCTTGGACTCTGTGGAGATCATCTTCAGCATCCGCTGCTTTCTGATCACTCTCGTGGTCCTGAAGTTGAAGCTTTGTCGCAGGGGGAAGCGCAAGAAAAAGGTAAATTTTCCTCCTCCCCTGTTCCCCGCAGATCTGGAGGAGGACAGTTGGGGAAAAAGAAGGGAGGTCTGCATAGGTGCTGGATCTACCCCAGGTCCTTCCCCGTGATTTGGAGAAAGGCCTATTATGCGCTTCCACCCCCTCGTTCCCCTCCACAATACTCTGCCGTTGTTCTGCTTCCAAATTACCGCATTTTGTTTATGGCCAAAGATTGGGGGCTCCTTCGTGCTGTGACCCAGAGCAGTTCCTCAGAAGAAAGGAAGGTCTAATGCTGGATTTCTCTGTGGCACATCCTAGACTGTGAATCTGCAGGATCTGATTATGCATTTATCAAACATTCTGGTTTAGATTTGAGCCTTTGAGGCTTTTGAATCATGTCTTAGTAATCAGCCCAGATTTAAATAATTAGTTGTTTGCAGCTCACTCATCAGTCTGCATCTCATTAAATCTGGTCTTACCAAAGACACCTGGTATCCCTTTTGGCTGATGGCCCTGCCTTACTTTAAAGGTCTCGCTGAAGTTCATCACCACGGAGAGCAGAGATTCCTGCGAGGGACGGGATCTGCTGAGGATGGAGCGCTTGAGCGCTGTGCAGCTGTAGAGGCCAAACTTGGTGCTCAGGAGATCCTGGCAGGCCAAACCCTCACAGGCTCTTCGGTGGTACCTTTCCCACTGACCTGGTCAGTTTCACCATCTGACTTCACTGACCACTGAGAGGACTGGAGCCTGCCAGGAGAAATGGCCGAGGTCTGCTTCTTCTTCTTGTCCTTCCAAGCATTGAATGGCCATTGTGTTTGTGCATTTCTTCTGCTCATCCTCTGGACGATGTTTCTAGCTTTGACGTCTCAAAAGAGGCTGTGAGCTAATCCTAACCCTCAGAGACAAGCCTTTTTTATTCTGATACACACATGCAGGTGCCTGGGTGTTCTCTTTGGGGCAGGGCCAGGGAAGCTCTGGGTCATTCTCGGGAGCAAAGTCACCCAGAGTGATGGGAGCCTGATGGCCGGGGAGGAGGCTCTAGCCGGAGAGAAAGGACCACCAGGGGTCAACTGGGGCTTTCTCTGACATGTTGCTTTGTATTCTGTTATCACAGCTTAAGCAGGGATTGAAAGAAAACTATGACCTTTAGATGACTGGTTTGTTGACAAAACTGCAAATCCACCTTACTTTGCTTATATCTGTAAATAGGCAAATCTACTGAAATAATGGATTGGGAGGCAAGGGGTCAGTCAGCTGCAAAAGAGGCAGATTGGGGAGACCTCGTGTGGCATCCTGGTGAAGGTGGGGGATGTGACAGGGAGATGCGATCCCAGTTTCAGCCCCAGAAGCTCCTGGGAGTGGGAGGGGGGACGTTGGTCCAGCTCTATACACTCAGCCAACCTACCTCACAGGGTTGTTGTGGGGAGAGCAAGGATGGAGTACTGTTTTCTGCCTTAAACTCCTGGACCAAAGATGGAATAAAAATCTAACCCATTAATTAAAACAATTGGCTGAGATCTGGCCCTTCCTTCTCTGCTGGCTTGCGAGTTCCTTCTCAGCTCCCCACTTTTTGCAGCTTGCAGACCATCCCCTTGTTTTAGCCCAAATTCAATCCGCCTCTGGCACTGCAGCTCCTAGAATCCTAGTCTCCTGGAGAAGCTGCTTTACTCTCCTGCAGGTGCCTTTTCTCGCTTTTCTCATCAACGGCTACATCGTCTCTAGACTGCCCCATAAGTGCTGTAATCTGTTTCTCTCCAAACTGTGGCCCTCCATATTACAAATCCCACCATCTCGGCTGCAGCATGACCCTGGTGGTCCACAACTCAGGGCAGGTGGGCAATGTGTGGCTGCGGAGGGCCTTTCTAGCAAGAGAACCAGCCAGCCTCCAGGGAGCAGGACCTGCCCCTCCCTTCTGCCAGGTGGGAGGCCTGGACTTTGGTCCTGGGTCCGCTGCCTACCCACCCTTGGCTTCGGGAAGTGGGCTGGAGGTCAGTGGCCCAGAGTGGAGGGCAGGGCGGGCGGCCTTGGCTGCTGGGGGGAAACTGAGCAGGGCCACTGGCACGCTGCCATCTTTGCACCATCCCTATCCCCACCCCCACCCCCAGCCAGAAAATTCCACCTTGTTCCTGGGCTTCCTGTGATCAGAAAGTGCTGTGGGAGGACTGTGGCCCTTTTTTCATCAGGAGCAAGATTTTTTCACCTGTGCCTGAACCTGGACACACAAGCAGGTTTTTATTTTTGTGGGTGGGGCATGTAAAAAGAGGTGAGGCTTTGACTGCATGGCTGCGGCCGCCATCTTAGCTTTTCGACCTCCGTGCCTCATGGGCAGCCTCAGCAGGTAGGCTGTCCATATGGCTGAAGCATGAATGAGGGCCCCTTGCTCCCTCACCCCGGTTCCAGATGTCTCTCTCGGAACTGTTACCCCTCAGTCTCGATTCAAATCTTGGCCCTCCCTGCAGGGAGGCTGCAACCAAGAACCAAGAGGCAATGCAGATTGAGAGCTCTGGCTAGGCTGTGCGAATGTTTACATGCAGCCCAGGAAGCTCACACTTGCACAACCAGCCCTAAGAAGTAGGTGAGAGGAGAGCAAAACCATTTAACCATTGGTGGGGGGGGGGAGCAGAAGTTACCACCCCGCAACGTCTTGGCTTTTTTGGTCACTCCCCAAATGAGCTGCAATAAATCAGAATTTGTAATTTGGGAAAGGGGAACTCTGGTCAAGGAAGTAGCTTTGAGTGGACATCTGAGCACAAAAGAATTCTGCAGGCTTTGACTCTTTCATGGCTGCATTGGGATCGTTTTATAATGAAAAGCAGGTAAAACAATCAACAAATAATTCTACACATACATTTTTCACACGAAGCTCCGGCTGGCAGCTCACACCAAGCGGCTTCTGCAGGCTGCTCTCTCTCCTCTGTGCTCAGGCAGCTCCCTTCGGCTCCCAAAGCTGTCGGTTTTGGGGTGCTGTGTTGCCTGGAGGTGGGGGGGGGGCTGGACTATCGACTGCACCCCTCCTCCCCCTATGCTGCAAGCCAGACCCAAAGGCCTAGCAAGGGGATCTGGTGAGGGCAGGGCAGAAGGCGGGGGGGGGTGTCTGTAGCTTTGACTCCTTTTAAGGGGGTCTGCTTTGGGCTGCTGCATATGGACTAAGGTAGTTTGCATTCAATGGCACTGAATGTAGATCAAAGCTGGGCAGGAACGAACGGCTTTGGACCCCCGGTGCTTCTCTGCTCCTCGGAAGAAAGGAAGGAGGGCTGCTTTAGCGGAGAGCAGAGAGGTGCAGAAGAGGTGCAGCCCCAAAGCACTTTTGACAGGTGCACAGCTCTAAGGGCGCTTATCCCAATGATCCTCGGCATTACACAGATCCTGGTTGGAAATGCCAGGGCTACTCCATGGAGAACATCCTCAACAAGGCAAAGCAAGGACTTGTACTTGGCTTATATAACTGATCTGCCAGCCGCTAAGGGTGGGCTAATGTCATTTTAATAATTTATTATGCTAATCTATTAAATTTATATGCTGCCTGACTGGGAGTTGTCCAGGTGTAAACCGGGGTCCATCTCAATGACCTTTTGGCTTTGCTGGCATTTGCAGCTTGAGCCTCGGGCTACAGACCTCGCTTTCGCCAGCAAAAGCTGCTCTCACATTCGGAGCCCTGCAGTGGGAAGACGAGTGGGCCACGAGCCAGCAGTATGCACTGTGGAAGAGGCAGCTGCGGGCGAGGAGCCCCTTTGGCCAGCGGAGGGCTGACAGAAGGCCGGCTGGTCCTCAGGATCAGGCTTTGCCGCCGCCACCACCCCCCTCGGCTGCACCCCACGTTGTGTCACATTCACACCAAACTACAGTGTTCAGGGAGGGGGTAAAGGAAAAATATCTGTGAGTCAGAAAAAATTCAGTAGACTGGCAGGTGCTCCTTGCTCCGAGGTCCAAGCAGGAACGGGAGGAGGCTGGCGACTTCCTCGGAGGTGCCTGGTGAAGTTGGGTGCTGCTTGGGAAGGTGGACTCATCCAGAGCCCCCTGGGCAGCGGGGAGGTGCTCAGAACTGGGAGGCACTGCTGGGATCGCACTGCAGCAGCCTCACGATGGAGGGGTCGCTCTTGGCGCCTTTGATGAACTCCTCCAGGGACAGTTTGCCTAGAAAGGAGAAGGGGGGGTCAAGCACAGCAGAGGAAGGGGGGGCCCAGCCCCAGATGGGGCAGAGTGGGAAAAGTGCCCAAAGAGACCCCTGAGAAGCCCTGGTGGCCTGCTTCTCCCCTAAGAGCTTCTGACTGCCCTGTCCTGGAGAAGACAGCTTGTGTGTCTGCAGGCCCTCCGTGCTCATCACACCTGGACTTTGGGCCAGGTTTGTGCCAAGTTCAGCTCCCTGTGCCCCACCTTGTTATTTGATAAAGGATTCCTGCAAAGCAAAAGTGTGTCAGGGTTTTAGAAAAAAATGAGCAGATCTGACATGGAAACCTGAAGGATTTCATTTTTTCCCTTCTCCTGTGTCAGGTTAGGTGTTCATGTCACACTAACTATACTGATGTCTTGGTTTTCACAGTTCAGCAGGGGGGTGCAAAGGGCAACTGCAGCCCCCAGGGTGGAGAAGCCCCTTGCTGGAATGGGTGCTGAGTTCCTAATACTGGAATGGCACTGCTGCTTTTAAGCGGGCACAACTTGTTGCCCATAGTTGCCTTTTGATCGCTATACAGGGTGAGAGAGTGCAGCAAATCGAACTCTTATGCGGGTATCCTTGACTTACAACCACAAAAAAGGACATTAAATTTATCATTAAGTTTTGCACTCATTAAGCAAGGCATCGCATGGCCACATCTTATTTTATGACCATTTTTGCAGATGTTTAAGTGAAGCATCACAGGAGAGCAACTCGTAACCTTCCCTCTAGCTTTCCCATTGTCTTGTCTGTTGAAAGCTTGCAAATGGCTATAATATATGCTGGTTGTCAACCACCCAGTGATCATGTGACTATGGACATACTGTGACAGTCGTGTGAGCATTGATTTTATATGTCATTTTTTCCAGCACCGTTGTAACTCTGAAGTGTCACTAAATGAATGGATGTAAGTTGAGGACTACCTATCATAGATGCAGACACGTTGACTTCCGAAGCAGGATGGCAGAGGCAGAGCCCGCAGCCAGAAGGGGCAGCCGTCCCTAAGCCTGGAAGATGGGATGGAAAAATAGGCTCTGAAGCCCAAAGCCAGGTCTCTGCTAGCTTTTCCTGCTTCTGTCTTTGCAGAAGGGGAAAACTGACACTTTTAATACATGCTCAGCAGCACAGACCCGGATCCCCCTCTGACTGTCTCTAATGGGCAGCGCGGTTCATTGCTCTGAGCACACGGGTGTTTTCCTGAAAGAAGCTGAACATATGCTGTGCAGTGATGCAAAAATGACCTTCAAGATCTTTTTTTTAGGACAGCATCTGGCCACCTCATTTTTGTTATTCTTTATCAAATGTAATATGCTTGTGTTTAACAGGGAGGGAGGGAGGGAGGGAGGAAGGAAGGAAGGAAGGAAGGAAGGAAGGAAGGCTATATTAAGGCAAAATGCTAGAAATTACTACCCAGCAGTGCCTGCCTCTTGCCCGGCCTGGCAGAGTGGTGGGGCATCCTCCCTCCCCCCACAGCCCCTTGTCACTGTATTTAATCAGCTTTCCTGCCTTCTTGCTTAAAAGCTCTGGATTTACTGATGAGCTTGGGTCTTAATCTCTCTGTCTCCTCATTTACCATCATTATTGGTATCCATCTGTCGGAAGATTTTTTCCGTCCGTTTCTCAGGGGTTGATTCATCATCTGGCATCTTCATCACTGATGAGACCATTTTGTAGATAGCCTGGAGAAAGGAACAGGAGCAGGATCAGATGCTGTAGAGGTTCATCCTTAAATCTGGGCTTTGGATTCTGCTAAGGACCCCAAAACTCTTCTGGTGTGGAACAGAGCTCGCACCGAACTAGGTTGGCACAGATGGGCTGGAGGGGGCATCCCTGCTGCATGCCTGTGGGTCAACCTGGCCTAGTAGGGTGATCTGCTTGGCATCTGGCAGCCCCCTTTGGCTCTTCGACGTCTGCCTCTGCCCACCTCGTCCTGGGCAATCGAGGCCTCTCTAACCCCACCGACACAACTCAGCACACTTCTCCTCTTTTAGAAACTGCTTTGCAGCTGCTGCTGCTCTGCCCCGTATGAAAACTGAAGACAAGAGAAAAGTTCAATGTTCTTCAGCACTGCACGTGGTCCTCGACTTACAACCACAACTGAGCCCAAAAGCAAGACAGTTGAGTTTTGCCCCATTTTATGACCTTTCTTGCCACAGTTGTTAAGTGAATCACTGCAGTTATTAAATTAATAACACAGTTGTGGAATGATTCTGTCTTCCACATTGACTTTATTTGTCAGGAGGTGGCAAAAGGCGAAAGCGTGAGCCCCGGACACAGCAACCGTCATAAATACGGGCCTCTTGCCAAATGTCTGAATTTTGATCATGTGACTGTGGAGATGCTGTAACAAACGGTCGTAAGTCCCCTTTTACAGTGCTGTTGTAACTATGAGCAGTCACAAAATGATAAATTGAAGACCACCTGTATTAGACATACATTTTTTCTTGCAGTTGTTGCTGTTAAATTGCCTATGTGCAATTTGGAAAATAAAATGTTCAGCATGAATGTTACAGTCCTATGGTGTCTGGGTAATCCTTGAGTTATGACTTTAATGGGAGCCTGCCTGTCACAATCTAACTCACGATAGTTGTAAAGCAGGTTGGCCACGTGACTGACCTGATTTTAGGACCATTTCTGCAGTAGTTGTTAATCAAATTGCCCGGTCGTTGTGAGCCAATGGTTCGCCATAGGTGGGATTTTGCCAAAACTTGGAAGTAACTGCCAGTTTTCGGCAAAACTTCTAAAAACAATGTCATGTGACTTTGAGATGCTGCAAATGTCTGTAAAAGCGATGCTGTTGCTGAGCACCCGATGTCCAGTCACGTGAGCACAGGCCGACCGTCCGAGCTTCGAATCCGGGTCGTAAGCACCCTTCAGGCCCATCGAAGCTTCAAATGCTTAGCTACTGGTCATAAGACCATAAGGCCCACTTACAAAGTCTTTTCTAAACCAGCCTGCCCCGGACTGACTCCTTTGAAGACATGACTAGACTTTCCATCATCCCCAGCCTGCATGGTTGTTGTTATTCTATGAGAAGATGGGGCCATCCCAGCTCAGGAGAGCAAATGAGGAAAGGAGCTGCCATCAGTATCCCTGCCCTGAGAGGGCTTCTGCCTCTCCTTTCCTACTCCAGGGGCTGAGAAAGGTGCATTGACCATGGTCCAGCCTGCCTCTCTGGGTCCCCAGGCAGCTCAGAACAAATCTGATGGAACAGGATCATTTTTTCTGTCATATTCGGCCAGTCTGTTGTGTCCCAGCAGACTGTGACTGAATATGTCTGCAATTCACACGCACAACGTCATAGCTGGGCTTTTACCAATAGGAGGGGAGTCAACCAGCATGGCAGCACACAGCTCAAGCAGGCCGATCCTTTGGGGAAAGCAACGGTCTGCAGAGTAGCCCGAGGACAAGACTGAGCAGCAAAAAATACACCTTTTGTTCAAATAAACCCAAATGGAACACCTCAGAGACACAAGCAAGAGAGAAACAGGGTAATGGCCAGATTAAGACAGTGACTGTGGTTGGAGCTGCACCTATTTTTATATGCAATGTTATTTTATATGCAATAATGCACTTTTTGGACAGTTCCCTGCAATCGTCCCTGGTGAGAACCAAACCAGAAACAGTGAGGATAGCCTGCATTATGGGCTTGCAATGTTGATCAACTGACAGCAGAGGGCACTACATAGAAGGGCAGAAGTAAGAAGGTAAGGTGGAAATGGAGAGGAACCTTTTGGGCTGGTTTTTTGGAACTCAACCCAGAACCTCTTTGCTGGATGCTGAAAGGAAAGCGGCAAGCTGGTCTACCTGCTGCTTTTTAATGGCCGGGGGCATCTGTGTTAATCCGTGGCAATAAATTCAATGCCCTGATTATGAACTGAGCAAACGTATTAGCGACACCCACAGATGCATTTAGCCAGGCAGAGATCCAGCAGATGCAGTCACGCAACATGCTAGAGATACCTTCAGTGCGGTCTGAATCCAGCATGTTTGATTCGCTTATTGTTTGATGCACTATGGAAATTCAGACCACTTCACTCGATTCCCAGGTTAACGCAGCCACTGAACGATTCTCTTGGCCATTTAGCGTTCGTCCTTGGCTGGCCCAAAATCAGACTCGGGACTTGTCTGAATTGGAAAGCCATATGGCAAAACAACAACACTCTTTTCCAGGAGACCTCCATGTCCAGGAATGCCCCACTGAGACTCATTGCCTTTCTTAGAAAATGGAACGGGTGGGCAACCCTTGCCTTTAGTTTTCTCTGGAGCTGTGCCCATGTGCCCAGATAAAGGGCAAAGGGAAGCAGGGATGGTGGCGGTCAGGAAGACCTCTCAAAGCCATGCTTCACAAACAGTTTGGGCAGCCATTATGGGAAGGACTTGCGACCTCCAACTACAGGTTTCCAAGTTTCCCACACCAATGCATCAAGGTTCTCCCCACAAAAAACCTCCCCCCTTTCCAACTTCACATGGATGTAAAGAGGTGCCTCTCCCCAAAAATGGGAAGTCGCCAGCTGGGGGCACCTGCCAGGTACAGTGAGAAAAGCCAATACAGCAATGGCCGACCTTTGAACGCTCCATTGTGGCTGCCACCTTGACTTTTTTGACATATTCTGCTGACACGCATCAGCCCTTTCTCCCCCCCCTCGCCTGCAGGTGCCTTGGAGCAGGTCCTGAGCTTCTCTGAGCCCTTCCATTGCTGCAGATCGTCCACAGCCATGGTGAGCGGGAGCCCTGATCAGCCTTCTCCTTTGCAAATGGGTTTGCCACTTCACTTTTCAAGCACCGTAACTCCTCCTCCCCCCCCCCCCGTTTCTGGTAGAAGACGTGGAGAATTCTCTTCCTTTCCTTGCTCCTGACACCCCCGCCTTTGTCCTCGTGGGGATGAAGCTGAGATGCACTGTGTGGGAAAGAGGCTGAACCCCTCTTCTCCACACCCTGCATAATTGCTATTAGGACTGTGCAAGAGTGTGGATGTGGTCTTGGGAAAGAAGAAAGAGCAATGAACCATTTTGGAAGGCTTGATTAAGCAGAAAGCACAAAAAGACACCCAAGCAACTCCATCTTGATTTTGTGTGCTATAAGATGGAGCAAAGAGAAATGCCAACAGGCTTTAAAGAACCTGTAAACCCCTCCCCCCTCACCAATATGGAGATTCCTGGAATCCCTGCTGCTCCTGATTCCTGATCTGGCTTGTTTCACAGGGCTGACGTGTCTTGTGCTGACATTTTATCAACTGGAAGCCAGTCCTAGGTTTCTGGAGGACCCAGAAGTCTCTGTGCCTCGTCTTGGCGTTCAAATGCTTTAGATCTCTAAAACAAGAATCTGACACAGGAGGGTCCTCAGTTTCCATCTACCTGCATTAAGAAGGCCCCCTCTCAGCAATGTTCTTTTTTTTTCTTCTCAGAAACTTTATCCCTATTAAAATTCAGTTACAACCCACAGTCCAAAAGATTTGCAGCCGTCTTGCAGAAATCTGGATTTTTTTCTGGCATTCCCCAGAAACCTACCAGTAGCTGCCTTAGCTCGGATGTGATGTGGAATAAAAAGGAATCCACAAATTGAATTTGACTTTTAAAGCATTCCTACTCACCTTCTGGGCAGGTGGGGGAATATTCGCAGAGGATGCTGTTTTTAGAAAACAATAAAACATGTTTTTCTCCTGGAAAATATCACCAGGTGAAGATTCATTGATGCAACATTGTTCACAGAATCTATTAAGCTGCATTCTGGCACGGTGTACACTGTGAGCCTAACTGGGCTTTATTCAATAAACCACACCTAAAAAAAATACGGCTTAACATGATTTGTCTCTCATCCCTGTTCTTACCTGGGAATCAGTTCTGGAAGCTGCCAATGCCCAGAAATATAACCTTGGACCCCTTTGCAGGTCTAATCCATTCTACATGTCCATAAAATAAATCTCTGGTATCTACAAAAACACATTTACAGTAGAGGGAGCAGAAGAGAACTGTAGGAAAGCGAGAACACAAGTAGCCTTTACCACCTCACAATTTCCTTACTCTAATCTGTCCTCCTCTGCATGCAATTCTGTCTCCACCCCCCCCCACCCATGCAACCTGCATTTACAGCCAGCAGAGGCGAGGGGGGGGGGTTGGAGTTTTGTGCTGAGCCAATGAAGACAGTATCAGGGGTATCCAAAGACATTTTTTTCCAGGGAATTTCTAGATGGCTCTGCTGCCTCCCACACTGAGCATCCTGTTCTCCCACGCAGCTTCTGCTTTTCCTTTCATTCTCCAGAAGTCATGAAGGAACGAAAGGCAGAAGAGCCACGTCTCCCCCAGCCGATGGTGCTAGGACCTCTGCAGTGAAAGCAGCCAGATGCAAAACAGCTGACAAGGACAACAAACCGAGAGAAAAATTGGTGGGAAACTCTGTTCTCCCTCTGCAGCTTCAAGCCCTGTTCTGACGGGCTCTGGCTCAATCTGAAAGCTAAAAGCTTTAATCAGTTTAATTGCTAGATTAACAGCACACTTAAGATTAGTTACCCTTTGCAGACTGGATTTTCCCACTCAGTAATTAGGGTCCCCTGTTTTAATCACTTTACTCAGCATATTAACCCATGGCTTTAGTTGATTAATTGGGGAGGGGAAGATCTTTGGGGGTTGGCGGACAATTTTAAGAGCCAGGAAAGCCCACTTCAGGGCCCATTCACTTATGATGTCTGTTTTAATTGCTTTGGCTTCTTGGTTGGATTAAGGACATTTAGATATTTAGAATATTGGGGTTCCCAGAAGTCAGGAAGATGCTGTTTTAAAAGAGCAAGACCCGGAAATTAGGCACAAAAGGGCTGTGAATTCCTCAGTTCTTCCCACCATTCATCCTTCCCCATTTCATCTGACTGCAGAAGAGCCTGTTGTTGGGGCAGCTGCCCAGAGCTTGGGGGAAGGACGGAAGGAAGGAAGGAAGGAAGGGAGGGAGGGAGGGAGGGAGGGAGGGGGGAGGGAGTGGGTGAGCTCTATAATGTACTTTATGATTTCATGACTGTCAGTTCACCAAACCTTCATGCCCTGTGGTGAGTTCACCTAACATGCTAATTTTTACTAAGCAAAACCTCCACACCACCGTATCTCAGGCTAGCAATCCCCTGGGGGCTGGCATGCTGTGGGTGTTTCTGTCTCGCCGTGACCCTTAGGCTAAAGTGGGCAGGCTGTCGAAAGGCGCTTCCCTGGCTGGATTACGGGGCTGGGCCTGAGTTCAGTTCTAGCCACCCATGAAGACTCAGCTATTGTGGGTGGCACAAAGATCAACAAAGGTTTCTCTTGGGAGGTGTCAGGACTTTGCTGGCGGGGGGGGGAGGAATGGGGGGGGCTCACCTGGACAATCTCCAGCATCTCTTCCCTGCTGATGTAGCCGTTGCCATCCAGGTCGTACATGCTGAAGGCCCACATCAGCTTCTGCTCCAGCTTCCCCCGGGAGGTGACGCTCAGCGCAATGATGAACTCTCGGAAGTCGATGGTGCCGTCGCCATTGGTGTCGAAGGTGCGGAAAACGTGCTCGGCGAACTTGGAGGCGTCCCCATAAGGGAAGAAGTTGGCGTAGATTTTCTTGAACTCCTCCACGTTGAGGATGCCAGTGGGGCAGTCCTTCAGGAAGCCCTTGTACCACTCCTGGAGCTCCAGGTCGGAGAACTGGGTGTTCTCCCGCAGGTCTTGGAGCATCTCTGGACGCAGTTTGCTGTTCTGCTTTCCCATGGCTGAAGCGGGAGGCGAGCTAAAACACAGGGCACAAAGAGAAGCTGGGCATGGACTTTGCCCCCAAGCCTGGCCCTTTCCCTGCCCGTCTCCCCATTGCCCGCTTATTTATACGGACTTCTGCATGCCACCCTGAGTGGTTGTGGTCTCATTTGGACTCAACAGCAAGATCAAGGATGGGGGGGGGGGGTTTGGAAAGAAAGCTTTGCTTCTCCTGCGCTGACCAGATTTCTGATTCAAGGCTGCCTTTTGGGAAGGGAGAAAAAGCGAACTTTCCCAGCACATTCGCTTCCTCTCCTTCAATTTCTCTCAGCAGCTGTTGCACTGTATTCCACAAAAGCTGCACTGTGTTAGCCCGGCATGGCTAGCTTCACATGCCAGTTCCCAAACACCAATCTCCTCAACCAAAGGGCTTTTAAAAAGCAAAACATGCCTTTGATTACGTTAAGGGGTGTGGGGGGGGACAGAAATGGAAAACGGGCAACAGTGCCAATCACAGATAACTGCCCAGCACCCACTTTCACGTCCCACAACTTTCCTTCAGAGCACTCGCTAGAGTGGGGGATTCTGGGAAATATGTGTACAGGAGACCCACAATGCTCAGCTCCTGCTTGCCTCCAGCGAGACTCAAAGCAGAACTGACTGGAAAGAACATTTTGCTGACGGTGGCTCAGCTCTCCAAAAGGAGGTCACGGACTGATTGGAAATCTGCTCTGGATTTATGGTATTTCAGAAATTAGCCTCCTGTCCGTGGAGATAAGAAGACAGGGGACATTTTGTACCACTTGGCACCTCTGCCAGCTTCTGGCTTTCTGACCACGGACTGCAAAGCATTTAGAAACATGATTACAATGTACCATTAATGTTAGACATATACTAGATTATTTATTCATTTTTATTATTTTTATAGATAGCTTGAGGCAGCAAAAATACCTAACATTATTTACATTTATTCCTGGTCATTTATTTATTAGATTTTTACTCAAGTTTTATTACTTTATGAATAACTCAAGGCCGTTACCTAATCCTCTTCCCCCTTCTATTTTTCCTACAACAGCCCTGTGAAGTGGGTTGGAAAGGCTGGCCTGAAGCCCTGTTGATGATCCTAGCCTTTTCCCCTCCAAGAGAATGAGCTGCCCCTCCCTCCATCCTTGGACACATCTGTGTAAGGGTGAAAACCCCACCTGAATCCTGGAACAGCGAAGGACAGTTCTGCCCAGTGATGGGAGGAAGCAGGGGTGATGGCCGTAATCTGCCCCTTTTTCCTGTATTGTGCATACAACATACATAAAAAGCAGGAGAGCCTTGCTTGCACATTCATAGCAGGGATCTCGAGTTTTTACCTTCAACCTGGACACCTTAGCCAAGAAAGGCTACATCATGGGGTGGGGGCAGAAAACTGGCTGTCAAATCAAGTATAGATACTTATCAGCAGGCAAATGGTGAGGTGTTCCCATTCCCTTCTCTCTCTCTCTCTCTCTCTCCCCCTCCCTCCCTCCCCCCCCTCTCTCTAGGGGTCCTAATAGACAATCATTGCTTGGGCGGGGGCTGGACTAGATAACCTACAAGGTCCTTCCAACTCTGTTGTTCTGTTCTGTTCTGTTCATGAGCCAGCTGGGTGCTGCAGCTGCCAAAAAAGCCAATGCAATCCTGGGCTGCACAACAGAGGGATAGAATCAAATGATAGCATTGCTTTACACTGCAATGAAGAGGCCATACCTGAATATTCTGTACCATTCTGGTCACCACGATACGACCCTAAAAAGACTGCAGGAAAAAGCAACAAAGATGACCAAGGCTGGAGGCTAAGTTGCATGATGAACAACTGAGGTTACGCCTCAGTTATGCCTAGTCTATCAAAGAGAAGGATGGGGGGGGGGACATAATAACTGTCTTCCGGTACTTGTGGGACCGTCACAGAAGGGACTGACTTATTCTCCTGAAGGCAGGACAAGAAGTAATGGGTGGAAGCTTGTTAAAGAGAGGTCCAAATTTTGGTCACCATATCACAAAAAAGATGTCGAGAGTTTGGAAAAAAATCAGAGAAGAGCAACTAAGATGATCAGAGGTCTGGAGACTAAAACATATGAAGCATAGCTGCGGGACTTGGGTTTGGCTAGTCTAAAGAAAAGAAGAAACAGGGGTGATATGATAGCAGTGTTCCAGTATTTGAGGGGCTGCCACAAAGAAGAGGGGATCAAATTATTCTCCAAAGCACCAGAGGGAAGGATGATATAAAACCAGGTCAGTCAGGTGATTGACCTGTTTTGTAACTATTATAACATAAGACTACAGTGGGCAGGCTCCATTAAGGTCCTTAGTCAAGGACAAGCAGCCGTTTTGTTGTTGCTGTTGCTCTTATCACCCCAAATAATTGGTATCCTCAGACCAATGTAACGGAGAGTATTGCTCTTCTCCCAGCCCAGATCCTTTGTGAGGGAGTTATAAAGTGTCTCCCACTTAAAGATTTCTGAGGAAATCATCCCCTTTTGCCCTCCCTCTTGCACAATCCCTGGGGTCAGGGCCTTGCCCTTGTCTCTCCTTTAGATGTATATCCCAAAGGACTGTGTAGAGACCTGGATTCAAAGGGCAAAAGGAGTCATTGAACCAAAGAGGAGACATGGAACATGTGCAGGCACCAATATGGCACCTCTGTGGGACGGTGAAGAGGGATTTCAACAGGGACGTCCACAGGTATGGTCAAAAAAGATATGCAGCGTACATCAAAAAAATACCCAAAGCTTAGTTTGCAGCGCGGTATCGTACCCACCATTTTTCCTTTTTCTACATCATACCTTGCAGATCAGCCTGGATGCAACCCAAGGAAGCGGGGAGAAGGGAGAATGACAGAACGTGGCCAGCTGAGGGGAGATGGCAAAAGTCCCCCCCCCCATTCTGGGAGCTGTTTTAAAGTTTGGAGGATGGGAGCTCAGGCAACATTGCTTTCTGGAGGCAAAGCAAAAATGGCTCAAGCCAAATCTATTTGGAATAAAAAGTGGCTTCTCTGGCCTCTTCCCCAGGAGGAATTTCACCAGCATCTCCCTCCAGACTGTCTCCCATTGCAAAATCGTGCTCTAGGAAAGGGCGGCGGCAGGGCTCCCCACTCACACAGGCAGCAGATGGGAGCCCTGATGGCCAAGGACTGGAAACAGCAGCGAGGAGAACAAGACAGGCAGAACTCTCACCTGAAAGGCCAGCTGAGGGCAGGGGCTGAAGTGCATGCCCCCCTCCTTTTGGCATCCAGGAATGGATGGGGGAAATCTTTGGGAGCCTGTGCATTTTGGAGGGTGAAGAAGCTGGATGACCAAAAGAAGGCTTCCCAGGACTCGCCCATTTCACCTTATAAGGTCCCCTCCCAGAATGGCCCCTGGATCCACCTGCTTTTGGAGTGGAGCCGGAGACACGCTGCACAAAGCCTGGAGGGGGGGGCTTCTGAGGAGGTGGAAAAGGTGGGCTCCAGCCAGAAGGCGCACAGGGTAGCTGGACACTAAAACAAAGTTGCAACCACCATCGTGATTTATTTTTACCCTTCCCAGTATCCCTCCCTAAGGCCTTTGTGGGAATTCTGTACAGAGATTGCAAAAGGACTATGGGACCAGCAGGGTTCGGGCTGGTCCACACAAGGATGCTTCTCCCCATCCACAGGGAGCCCATTTCAACTGCTGCCACTATTCAGTTTATAAACAGCACAAGGGATCCTCAGAACCGAAATTCCCTCCCCTAAACAGGGGAAACTGCCCAGCACCAAGCACTCAGTTGGGGAACATTTGAGACCGTTGCAGGGGGAGGACCCTTTCCCGGCCCAGCCAGAGGAAGGCGCAGCCCTGATGGCTGGACCCCCATCCTTGGCAAGAGAGGGCTTTCCCGTCAGCTGCTCCCTGCTCTTTTTCATCCAGAGATGCTGCTGAAGGCCAGCCCAGAATTTCTGAGTCTGCTTTGACCTGCAGGAACCGCTTTCCCCAAAGATGCATCTCTGTCTCTCCCAGAAAGGGTGAGGCAACAGCAGCCGGTTGCAAAAGAGCCTTTCCCTTCTCCAGGCTGGCATTTTTCTGAAAGCTCAAACCTGTTGTAGCCACTGGCCGTGAGCCTCTCTAGGCACAGGACTGGCCACCATTGGAGACCGGAGGCTGGAGTTTGACAGACCATGAGATGTGCTCAGAATCAGATTCAAGAGACCGTCAGAGAAGAAAAGGATGGGATGCCGAACCTTCGGAGTTTGACAACAGAGGCTTTTGAGCTGCAAGCCCTTCTCTCCAAAAACCTCTGTTAGCAGCCTCTGCTCCCCCACAAGGTTGCCCTGGGGGTGGGAGGCTCTCCAAAACCACAGACCACCTAGAAGCCTGTGCTGACCAGATTCTGAGCTTTCTAAACCCATTTTGGAGGGGGGCAGTTTGGGTTACATCATGAGGACAGGTGAGGGGTCCTTGGGGAAAGCCCAGGTTGGCCCCACCCTAAAAAAAAGCTGAGAAGGATCACTTTGTGTTTGGAGATTTTGCGTTAAGTGGGTCATCTCCCTTTTGAGGAACATTTTTGCAGCAGAAGAAAGGCAAGACTGTAGCAGGGTGGGGTGGGGGGGGTGGAGTGTTGCTGCTTCATTAATATTTTACTTTCCCTCTCCGCAGCCTGCCTGTCATTGCAAATGACCAAGAAGTTAATCCAAAGAGCAATGGAGGATGCTGTGATTTTGAACAGCCTGGCGTTCCGATTTCCCTGGCATCCCGCCTCCCCCCCAACCATCCGCCATGCCTAGTGCCCGATTCTCTCTCTCAGCAAAAGGCTTTGCCCTTTTTTCTCTAGCATCCAATACTGGCAGAGGAGGGTTTCCCTCACCAGGCAAATAGCCTGAGCCCGGTTCCTGAGCTGCGCCATGGACGTCCCAGGGATGCCTGCCTGCCTGCCTGCCTGCCTCAGCACCAACCCTCCCCTCCAAGCTGGTCCTCTTCAGGCATGCAGGTACTCTGGCCCCCACTGGTCAAAGGGCCCCCTCCCCGTCCTAACCCAGGGAGAGCAGACAGATATCTGCAAAGGCTCCCTCTGGCCTTTTCCTTTCCCAGCTGATTGAAACATTACGGTGATGTTTCTCCTCCTGGTCCACGTCTTCAACAACCACCAATAACCCCTCCAGAGTGTATACATGTGGCCCTTTGTGTGGCTGAATTTTCAACCGTGGCTGTTCCAAAGAGGATGCAGGGTAAGGCAGAGGCTGCCTCTCTGATCCTGGAGGGTCTGCACAGCTGATCCAGCATCTGGATCCTTCTTGGTATTCAAGACACACAGTCGCTCCCTCCTTAGGACGCAGCCTACTTGGCTTTCTTCCAGCCTTCACCCACAGAAGAGGAACTGGAGGGAAGCAATCTGGGCACTGAAAAGTGAGAATTGATGCCAACTGGCAGCAAACTGCGGCAATGTGCCAGATCTGTTCCCCTCATAGCTTATCTCAAGTGCACATCCTCCACTGAGGATGGGAATAGGCCAAAATCAGGCCAAGAAAAAGGGGCCACCAGGGAGTTTTCCCAGGGTGAAAGAGGGGAGACGCCCCAAGAGCAGGCAGGTTGTTGATGGAAGCCACGAATCAGAAGTCCTTGGATCCGGCTTGGGGCCATCCTCGCCGCTTCCTCTCCTTCCCCAGGATGAGCGAGGGCACGCCACCCACTCAGAACGGCCTCCGGTCATTGGCACGACACAGGACAACTAAAATGCACCTTTGTCAGGGTGTGGGAAATAGCAGACCCTCAGAAATTTACACATAGTAAAATGTTCTCCTTACTTCATTTTGTTTCCTTGGTTTTTTTAGTTACATCACCAAAGTAATTTCTAAAAGATTATTTCCTCTATATAAAAGTTCCTCTGGATCAAAATATTGATTATGGATGTATAAAATGTCATCTCTCCTTAGGGGTAAAAATGTAAATTTATTTATTCCCAAATTATTGTGTTTGGTTTTTGTTTGCTTTCTTTCTCGTATTCTTTTAAACAAATCTCTAATGTTTTATTCAGGCACTTTAAATAAACCCGTTAGAGTGTTTCTGGGTCTGAAACATTTATGAAACGCCTAGTCAGAAAACTCATCCTGGTGCACATAAATATTTTTTTCAAGCAAGCAGGGGCTGATTGGAGTTGTAATCCAACAAAATTGGAGCCATTGAATTCTAGAAACTCCTTTCCTTAACTGTAAGGGGGAAACTGTGGTTAGTTTATATGCCTCTCAAATTTGCAGAATCCTTCCCTTCATAATTTGTTCAGTTTTTCTAAGAAAATGGTATCCAAATACCATTTCTTTCCATTTTTTCAATAACAATTTGTGTTCTTCTTTGCTCCAACTGTCTGAAGTTAGAATGGGGAAAAAAAGCTGACTTTAATTTCTAGGGGAAAGAATAGCTAGATTCGACATTGAAAGACTTTTAAAGTATTGGTGGTGCCTTAATTTCTCCTTCATCTAAGAAAGTGGCCATGAATATTTATGGCCCTTGAAAGCATAAAAAAGGTGAAGATCCTTGAATCCCTGGTAATGCTTCTCATCTTTTCTGAAACCAAGACAGGGAAAGTAATAATTTATGGAAAAACAGAGGCAGTTCCTTGATTAACAGAAATTCTGGCCATCCAAAGCATCCTTCAGCATCTTGATGGAGCTGGAAGGACCCAATAAAGATAGATCCAGCTGTGTGCAGCTATTTCCTTCCCCAATTCTGCATCTCCCCAACTAAAGGTGGAAAGATGATGAAGATTATCCTTCAAATGAGAAATTTTAATTGTCTCACTTTCTCACCAGAGCAAGCAAACTTAATGCAGAAAGGCATATGCTAAGAGTAAAGCTGGACTACAATTCTCTCCTTTCTGGTGGAAATGGGGAGGCAACCTTTGCTCCTTCAGAAACACCGTCCCTCTAGGAGTGGAAAAAAGTCCTGAGGGGACAGTTGCTTCAAGATGAAGCCCATCTGAAATTGCCCTCCATAATCTGTACCCACCAACATAAATCCATTTCTATTCAATTGGAAGTTGATTTCAGGCAGAATTCACTCCAAATGGAACAAGCAAGTAATTGCTGTTCCCTGACATCAAACCAAGGCGTTTTTCTTCCCTTCAGGAAGTCCAAGGCAGAAGGAAGAGCAGAAGAACGTTCTTTGGTCATGCCACTCCAGAAGCTTTATGTGCATGAAAAGATCATGCATGAAATCATCCACCAGGCATCCGGTTCCTTCTCACCCAGGGATCTACTTCAAGATCAGCCAAAGTCAGCAGGTGTTGCAACCTGGTTGAAAACCAATAAAGAAGGAAGGGCAACCTTCTGGTGGACATCTGCCAGTTTTTTTGAAGGATGCAAAATTGCACCATCAATTCTAGGGCTGATGAAGATTGCAGAGGGTGGAGGGGGTGGATGTACCTGCAGCTCTGGGGCTACAGGTTGCCATCCATTTTGCAACTATCCAATAAAAGACCAATCCATCTATCCTGGGGCAGCACATGAATAAAACCAATAAAGTGGAGGAGTTCCTTTGCCAGTTCTGATTTTCCCCACCAGTCAATTTTATGATGAAACCCCCAGTTGTCTTTTTCCTAAGCCATAAAGTTCAAAAGGGGTCATTTTTTTCTCAGATGCAAATGGCTCCAGAGGGCTTTTGCTGCACACCTTTTCCAGTGTAAGACAAGAACTACATATATCCAAGTGTGGTCTCACAACGGATGTACATAAGATACAACCACACTGGCAATTTCATTTCCCTCCTTTCTCCAAGGAGTCTCAGAGATTGTCTGCATTCCCAGTGGTTGCAGAATCCAACTGGGTCCTCTGAAGAGATCCAGGCCAGTGGTCATCAGCAATGGGTCCTTCAGGGAGAGGGACCTGGCCAGTGGTGGGATTCAAATATGTGAACCATCGGTTCTCTGTGTGGATGCCGCTTCCGGAAGTCCGTTCTGGGCCTGGGCAACAAAAAATTAGCTATCGGTTCTGCCGAAGTGGTGCAAACCGACTGAATCCCACCACTGGACCGGGCCATTATGTCTTAGCGGTCACGGTCACTGTCAGGACAATTACTGCCTCTAGGACTGTTTGTAGGGCAGAATTGACTGGATGGGAATCCCATGGCAAAAACAAGACAAATGTAATAAAAGAAGAAAGAAGAAATTACAGATGTATAGATTTCTTTTCTAAACCACCTAAGCCGAAATCTCCCCCATCTCCTGCACAGTGAAGAAACTGAACTGATAAATACATATCAGACACAGCACTAACAGGGCCAACGGGAGAGACTGTAAACCCTCCCAACGTGGGACTGTGCTCTCATTTGAATCAACTGGGGCTACACAACTGACCATGAGAAGGGACAGACCAGCTAGTCTCAGAAGGAAATGGGGGGGGGGCTGAAGGCCTGGAAATCAAAATGGGTATCCCAGAAGAAAGTGAAAAGGTAAATAGGTTTCCCTGCAGCTACCAAGGAAACTACCTGAGCTGTCCATGAAATGGAAGGAACTGAGCGTTGCCTTTGTCACCCCTGCAAAACGCCCCACCGACCAACGGCAGAGAGCATTGCAATACAAATAGTAATAGAGACTCCCCAGGACTGGGGCGAAATGGGCAGCAAAGGATGGCTTCAGGAGCATTCCGGATTGGGTACCACCAGCAGCCCCCCTGGTTCTCCCTGCCATGATCCCTGATCTATGCTGGGGGGGAGGGGAAGGATCTCTGTCCAGCTCCAGCTGTGGCTGCTGATCCTGGCCAGGCAATTGCAGCATGCGTGGGGGAGGGAAGATGTGGATGCCCCCCCCACCGCGGATTCTCCCCATCTGCCACCAGGCAGCAGACTGGCACAAGCGGAACTGACGGGGCTCTCCCTCATCTGCTCTCCCAGGGGGCTGATGCACGGGGGCAGGGAGGGGACAGCCGAATCCCACCCCCACCCCAGTACCTAGAGCCGTCACTGGTGGGGGGATTAGCACGCATCTCTTTGTGTGCAGTCGAGAACCGCTGCTCCGCCCGGCCCCCCGTTCAACTTTCCATCCACCCCGTAGCGCAGTCCCCGCGGAGGGGCGGCAGATCTCCCCAACCTTCTTCTCCGGGGACCTCTGCAAAGACCCCCCTCCCTCCAGCGCAGGAGCAGCGGCGACGAAAGCGAGCGGGCACCTTGCGAGGCGCCGCCCCCGCCACTTCGGCCGGGGGGGGCACAGAGGTGGGGTGACGGGGGTCTCCCCTCCCTCGTCCAAGGGCGGCCCCGATCCTTTGCGCCGTTTCCCGCAGCGATCCTAGAAAATGGCTCTCCCCAACAAACGGCGGGTGTGCATCGCTGTAACGGGGGGGGGGGCTGGATTCTGTAGCACGCTGCCTCTTTCGCGCGCTCCGTCAGGGCGATCCCCGGGTAAATGCGCCCACCCGCCCACCGCAACTTCTCCCGGCCGGTGCGCCGAGATCACCGAGCGCCGCCTCCCTGCGCGATCTACCTGACCGAGGGCTGGGATCCCGACGACCGCGACGGCTGCTAAGCGAGCGCCAGCGACTCCTGCCGCATCTTCCGCCGCCTCCTCACAGCCGCTGGAGCCGGAGCGGCACGCGCTGCCCGCCGGGGCTGCTGGACCTGGGGGGGGGCGAGAAGGAGGGGCTCGGGCAAAGGCGGGGGGGGGAGGATGTCCCTGCAGCTCCCCCCGGCGGGGCTCCCCGGAATCTCCCCTCCCGCCGAGCCCGGCCCCGCCGGAGCCCCGAGCCCGCCTTGCTTGCGCCCCCCTTCCCAGCCGAGGGAGGGCGCCGCTGGGCTCAGCGCTCCCCCGCGGCGCCCCCTCCCTGCGGCTGGGCCGGTGGAGTCCGGCGGGAGCGGAGCGGGCAGCCGCCCCGGTGACCCGGGGGAGACGCGTCCGAGCCCCCCGCGCCCGCCCGGCGGCCCCGGCGCTCGCGGAAGGGAGGTCGGGAGGCCGAGGCCGAAGGGTGGGCGAGGAGGCGCGCCGGATCCCGCCAAGAGAAGCCGCAGCCCAGCGGGGTCGACGTCCTTCCCGCCGGGCGAAAGGGCCTCCTTCGCCGGACCCCGCTCGCCTCCGCGTCCATTTGGAGGGCCTCCATCGGGCCCCGCGCGAGTCCGCTGAGGATTCGGCGCTACTCCCGGTGGCCCGCCCGTCCGCCCCCGCGAGCCGGTTCCTCCGCCCGAGTCGTCCGGCTTCCGATCCCCCGACGTACCCCCGAAGGAAGCGAGAGTGGCTTCCCGGGAAGGGCCGGTGGCGCTGCAGAGTGGGCGGCTGTCAGTTAAACGATTAAAAGCACCACTAAAATTAAGCCAAAAGGGGGCAGGACCCCCTCGCTCCATCCACCGAATCCAGAAGCGCCATTTTATGCCTTGCAGAAGGCCGGCGGGGCTGGGGCAAGCCTGGGGGTGGGTGGGGGGCAGTTCCAAAGGCTGAGCGCCACAGCTGAACAGGCGCTGGGGGGTCCTGCCAGGCGGCCTCTCTTGGGGGGGGGCACCTGGCCTGCCTCTCCTGCCAGATCTGCCCCTTGCAGGGGGGGGGCGGGGGAGTAAGTAACCGGTCCTGAGCCCTGAAGGGCTTTAAAGGCAGCTGCACCTGGAAGCACCCTGGAACCCAATGCAGCTTGCAGAAGAGAGGTGCTCCTGCGTGACCCCCAGCGCCTTTGGCATAAACGGACACGTCCATATAGACAAGAAGGTCTGTTGCTAAATGAGGTGGTCATTGTGATTCATACCTGATACGATGATCTTTTTTGCCACCGTTGTTAAGTGAATCGCTGCTGTCTTAAGCAAAACACATGGTCATCCTGCCAATCCAGCTTCCCCCACTGATGTCCAGGGAAGGTTGCAGAGAGCGACCATCTGACCCAGCAAGGCTGCAATCATCACAAACACAGGATGGCAGCCAACGCCCAAGTTTTGATCGTGTGAATGAAGGATGCTGTGACGGTCGTAAATGTAAGGACAGGTTGTGTCAGGTCCTCCGTTACCAGCCTGCACCTTGCTAGTGCAGGGGGGAGGGAGGGGGTTTATTGGGTGCGGTTGCTGGGATAGGGAGGGGGGAGTGACCATGGAAGAAGACCAGGTCTCCACTAAACCAGCTTGTACCAGGATCTTCCAGGCCGTTTGCCCTGAGAATGTTACTAGTTTGACGCCTCAGAGTTTCTCAAAATATCTTACCGGCATCATATTGGCTGGCCACGGTACTGGTCTAGTGGGGAGGTTGTGGGAGTTGGAAAGAATAGTGTTGCATTTTGTGTAGGAACACCAGATTCTGCCTGACTTTACTGTAACCAGTTTCTTTCAGTAAAAGTTTTCTCTGCTTCAACCAAATGGAGTCACGAGTCTCACTTCCCTAAAGGGATCAGACTGGGGCAGGCCTGACATTAGGCAGAATCTGCAATTGTGGTCAACCCAGAGAGGGCATCGCCTCTCCCGTGGGGTCATGCATATGATGCTGGCTCCAGGCAGCGGCCAGAAGGAAGCCAAATGCTGAGGGGAGGCCTCATCTAAAGCCCCCCCCCAGGACGACCTCTCTGAGTGGACAGCAGAGGCTGGAGGCTATGGAGACCACTATGGCCCAGATGGTCCCTGGGTGTCAGGAAGAAGGAAGACGGGACACCCACGGGGGTGACTTTCACCTGCAGTAGCCAGGGAAGCCACTGGTGTGAAAATGGTTGGGGCTAGAACAGTTGGAGGAAGAGGCAAGTGGAAAGCCTGACCAGGTCGACTGGATGATGGAGCAGGCAATGAAGTTTATGTCAGGACCCTTCCAGAAACTCAGGGCATGCAAAGCCCTTGCCAAACCAGTCTTCCTGGAGCATGACCACATCCAGCCACCCCCAGCAACAGGAGAGTGTTACCCACAGCCGCCACTGCCAGGGCTTTGGTGAGTCCTGTTGCTGCAGCTGCCGCTGTCGGGCTGGTACGTCATGGCTGAAGAAGTAGAAATCAGCTAGGCTCGCAACAAGTACCAACCAGGACGTGGAGAGAGGAAGTCAACCCTTGAGAGGACAAAGACGGTGAAGCTGCAGCCCCACTCACCAAACCTGCAGCCATGCTCAACGGCCTGTTTCAAATGCAGGAAAGGAAGTCATTGGGCAGCGGAGTATAAGGCCAGGTGATCCACCAAGAAAGCAGCCCTTAGCCCCACTGGGAGAGCAACCGAGCTGCCCCACGAACCTGAGATGGTGCTGAAAGGAGTGGAGATCGTCAAGTTCGCTTCATCCCCCAAGGATGGCGAGAGAACTCTAATCGAGCCAGCTGAGGACCCGTGGGGAAGTGACATTGACACCGACGACGATCCTCTGGTAAGTGGCTCAGCCACACCAGTGACAGTCCCCATAGGACTAATCATCCAATCCTCAGGACATAAAGCCAACTTGCCCACCCTCTTGAACGCGGGTTGCACTGGAGATTTCGGAGAGGAGATGGGACAGCCATTGGTCCAAAATAGTGTAGGTCTCTTCAACTCTGTTACTTTATTATTCTAGAAGACCAACATCTAGGGATAGAAAATTCAGTTTAATTTAAAACAAAAATCTTCTAAATTTTGGGAATTATGAAAATGAACTTCTAGAATTTAAAAAAAAAATTGGGAAAAAGTCCTTTTGATGAGGTGGCCTGGTAGTCCAACTGAGAGGCGGCCCAGCTGAGAGGCGGCCCAGTGTCCAAGCTGAGCTGAGAGATGGAGAGGCAGCTCAGCAACCCAGCTCCGCAGCTGAGCGGAGGCAGTGAGGTGCAAATGGAGGCCACCGAGCAGTGGTGAAACAGAGCTAGGGGGCAGCAGAGCAGCGGCTGAGAGCAGCGCGGTGGACCCTGAGCAGCAGCTGTGCAGAGCTAAGTAGCAGAGGAGCGGAGCCACCAGAGCAGCAGCTGAAAGCAGCGCGGCAGACCAGCTGAGCAGCAGCGGTTCAGAACAAAGTATGGCAGCAGGCTGGAGTGCCCACGGCAGCGGCTGAGAGCAGGGCGGTGGAGCAGCTGAACCGTGGATAAGCGGAGCAGAGAACACAGATCACACCGGCATACCTGAAAACCCCGGCAGTGGCAGGGAGGAAAAGGATAAGCACGTACCGTAAGGCCTGTGGACAGGCCTTAGTCTTGACAGGAAAGGGATAAATTTTTAAGGCAGGGTGTAGAGAGTTAATAGCTAAGCATCTCCTAGAAAAAAGCCTGAGGTTTCCAACAAAAAGAACAGTTCATAACAGTTCATAAAGAGCCAAGAACTTTGGCAATTCTTAAATTTTTAAAATTTCTGAAGCTTTTTTTAAAAATTATGGTTCCAAAATTTTTAATTTCTTTTTGCAATTTCTTTTTTCAATTTTTAATCTTTTTTTAACTTTTTAATTCTTTTAAATTTTAAATTCCATTTTCAGTTTTTAAATCTTTTTCTATCTTTTTTTTTCAATTTCTTTTTTCAGCTAAACAATTTTAAAAAGCAGTTTACTTATTTTAATTCTTTAGAAATTTTTAAATTCTTAATGATCTAATAAAAATCACAGAAAAAGAGACAGGGAAGATAGTGATGAATTTTTCAAGACAGAGAACAAAGGGTCAAGAACTTTTGTAAAGTGATACTTTGCAACAGGGAAAATATTAATTTTTAGAAAATGTTAATTTTTTAACAAAACAGTCATGAAAACAAAGAGTGACATTACAATGACTTACAAAATATGTCATATGTTTGAGCTTATGCCCACAGAACACCCAAACTATATATGTATCAAATGTAAAGTATATGAATTATTATAAGAAAAAGTAAAGGGTTTAGAACAGATGTGTCAAACTCAAGGCCCGCAGACCACATCTGGCCCACAATGGGTTTAGATCTGGCCTGGAGATGTCATTGTTAAAATTCAGAATATGGAACCATCGGAATTTAATTCCACAGACCCTTTTTTCATGCAGCCTATTTTGATCCACATAAATACTGCCAGAGTGATGACAGTCCAAGCAGACTTTCTAAATAACCTTTAAAAAAATGCACCTGTGTCCTGCCAGGTGATCAGGCAGGGAGGACTGGTTGCGATGGGATAAATTTAAGCATGGAGGTCCTTTTGTCCCACAAAGCCCCACCCTCTCCTTTTCTCTTCCGTTTCCCAGAAGACGCTGGGTGTTTGTGTGCCAGGCATGGGTGCCCCTTGGTGGGGCATGCTGGGGCCCTTGTGCTCTAGTCTAGCCACCAACGGGTGCCAGTGCCAAAGGACAGATTGTGTGTCTGTGCTGCTTCTGACCTGAAACCAGGATTGTGCAGGAAGGAAGAAGGACAGAGGGGGAAAAGTCACATCTCGGTTCTACGTTGCACCAAAAATCATTGGTCAGCAATTTGAAACAATGGTCCTTTTCCCAGTCTGGGTAAGAGCAGAAACCTTCAGAGGGACTGCTGAAATAGAGATGCCTCAGCCGAACCCAGAAGGCACCTGGCTGCACAACCTTGCACGATTTGGCTGGGAGATGCTAGTGCATTGAAGAGGATGGACGGTGCAGTCAGAGAATGGATGGGCAGCCAGTAGAAAGCCACACCATTCAAGCAGCCCCCTGGTGTGATAGCCAAGCTGCTGCTCAGCATCTTTGATGCTTTTGAGGGCTCGGCAGGCAGACGGTCCTCAATCGGTCATTTCTTGCAACCAGTACGGTTGTTCCATGT